TTCACCGGCATCGTCAGTGAATCTCGCCATTCATAGCACCATATTACAACTCGTCTGGGAATGTACCAGGTCCATGGTCCTACTCTAGAGATGATGATGCATACAATCGACTCCGGACAAGTTGCGTTCCTCTAAGTCTTCCTACCAACATGACCCAGTTGCGAAAACAAGGTCAAACAACTTCTGTACAACGAAAGGAGACTGCGACCACACAAAAGGCCACACCATCTTGGTTTGCATAGCTTCGAAAAAATAGGCAGTTTGAAAGAGTCTTTCACAATTGACAGACAGATCATGTAGATGCTTCTTACTGTTTGGCGGTAGAAGTAATCACATGTCAAGTTGTCTACAGGAAAGCCGTGGACGGACAAGTTGCCCGCTGGTACCTGCAACTGACCGGGAGGGTCGACCTTCCGGACGGGAGCGTGGCGGAGGGTGAATGTGGAAAGACTGAATGCAATTGGCCTGGGAAAGTGCTCAATGGACAGACTTTGGGGTGGGGCTTGTGTTGAAGTAGCATGGGAGGAAAACTATCAAATGAGTCAGGACAATGTGACGCAGAATGTGGTTATGGGGTTGAGAAGCCACATAGACCGACTATTAATTAATGGAAAGTCAGCTGGCCACCTCAACGGCAAGCAGGTATCAAGTAGGAAAAAAAAGAAACAGAAATGACGGAAATAGATTGTGACTGCAGCAGCAGTAGATAGGGGAAGTTGAAATGGCCACAGATTTTAGGACAGAAAATATTCGTAATAAAAAGCGATACAACTTTGCGTTTGTACGTGTGTACGCATTTGTGTGCGCGTATGTAATGAGTCTGAACTAAAGCCATTTAGAGGGCTGAAGAGATAGATGGCAGAAAGCATACATGATGAGATGGGCGCATTGGGAGATTAATAGCATCGGTTTGACACAAACCGGGATTTTTCCGTCGTCCTCGAGAGATGTGTCAGTCACTGGAGACGAGGAACATTCTCAACAGCTTAAGTTAAATCTCACACATTCAGATGCCTCACTTCCAAAAAGATATTCCGCTTTAGGACGGACTGTGGTCTCGACCTAGCCTCGGTTTCATCGGCATCTTTAGCTGGAATCAAACTCGAGATGTGGAAGTACAGAAAAGCATTTCAAAGCAAACCAGGCCCCTTCCACATGACATATGTTTGGTGGGATCGTTGCCCAAGTAAGCATGTATTTACCATAGACAGAGTTTTTGATGTTCGTTTTTTAGTAGGATTTTGAGCCTAACATTATCTACAGATCGTCTCTGAATCCTTCTTTTGTTACCCTCACGCTTAGGTAGAACTTGTATGTAGTCGACCGTTGATTGGACCAGGTGGTAGAGAGGGTGACGAATAGCGACAAGTTGGGGTCGGCCTCGGCGACCTGGGCATGAAACTGAGCACTCAAGACTTAGCAAGATCACACCATCTATTGATGCTGACGTTTTATTATCATTGACGGGCTGTAGACAGATTGAGGGATCAAGTCATCACTTGGCTGCAGAGTCCAAGTGTGTTTTTCGCCTAAGAAGCTGGGATGAAACTAATTGATGTGCATATCTCTCGGTACAATAAAATGAGGGAATCAGTGTGTGCGTTTATGTGTGTGCTTGTGAGGAAGGAGGAGAGAAAGAAAAGGCTGCAGATTCGGCCAACGAGACCGTGTGATGAGGAAGTAAAAAGAAAAGAAAGTGTTTAAGGTGGTGAATGACTGGTTGTTAACTTTTTCCACAATCACATGAGTACACCTTATGTTTCCATTAACTATCACACAGCATTGCTATCCCAAAAGGTATTCCCATTCAGGATGGACTGCAGTTTCGACCTCATCCATACACCCAGCGGGACTCGAACCCGGGTTGTGGTAGTGCATCATATAATCTCGATACGTTAATCACTAAGCCACGTTTCCACGAGTGCTCGTAGGTCACAGGGCAGATGTGAATTTTAAGGAATGACAGGTATTTCTCCATATGACACAGTGTCGTTGGATTATCAAAGAGAAAACAGTTGGGGAGGCAAGTTCATGTGAAATTCAATGAAAACGTAAGGCCTGCTCATAACACTTTAGGAAAAATTCAAATAACAGTCCTTGCTAACCTTAGACGTAATAGAGAGAATATATGATCTAGTGGTAGTCTCTTAAATCTACTTATAAACGTAAAATAAGTAGTGTAGTCAATTGATATAGCAAATAAAAGTTTGCTTCATCACAGCATTTGATATGGAAAAAAGCCTGACCTTCCTTGAAGTTATGAAAAAAAAACTGGGTTTCGAAGTATTTCATGTTATATATTGTAACGTGAATTTCCATTTGGAAGGAAAAGTTGATTAAAAGGAATTCGTGGTGTGGTTGCACCGGAAACCGAAGAAAGATTGCCGTGTAGGTAAGACTGTTGTATTGCTTACTTTCCTGCTAACCTGATGAACCGACGACGGTGATCCGATCACTTCTTCGCACAATAAAAAAGTCTTCCCTACGCGGCAATCCGCCTTGGAGATATGAAGACCGAAATGGTGTGGCATCTGCAATGGTCGCAGTCTGAGAGGCACACTGGGAATGGAACCGAGTGAAATGGGTTAGCCGGAAAGATAAGGAACCTATCTACGAGACCATGAGGGGGATCCGGATCGGAGGCCCGAGTCGGATTAGCCGATCGAAAGAGAGGGGGTCGGGGTGAATAGCAAGTGTGTAGAAGTCACACTAGATTTGCCACAAAAGGCACACATTTTGACGAGTGGAATGGAAATAGGAGAGAAGTTGTGATAGGGCTGGAGTTGGATTAGATCGTAAAGAGTTGATAGATGGATCAGGACAGAAAGAGGAGTGGTGGTGGAACGTTTGTCGAGGGATTGACTTCACTTGTCCCTTTGACGAGTTCGTAGCTTGGTGTGGAGGATGGCAGCATTCACTGATGATGTCGACATTTGAGAATGTACCAAGTCCACTGGCTGATGCTGGGAACCATGACAACTACTATGGCAGACGACTTCGGACTAGGTGCCTTCTACTAAGTCACCATGACAACAAGACCAAGTTGCGACAACGAGGTCAACCCTCATTGGAGTTCGTTTCAACCCTGTGATCTAAGGCCATTCGTGACAATCTGGCATAATGGTTAACATGTCGAGCTTATGCGCTGGACTAAACAAACTGGAGTCGAGTCCCGCTGGAGGTGCTGATGAGACCCAGCCAAGGTGGGAACTACACTCCACGACTGAGGAGAATACCTTTTGAGAAGCATGGCTATGTGAAATTTCCTGGTAACGTGAGGAGGCCTAATCATATGACTTTGAGAAAATGCAACGGAATCTCAAAGTCAGATAGATTTTATCGTGGCTATGAATGCCAAGATGGTGTGGTCTTCTGTTTGTTCACAGTCCACTTTACCTTTATAGGGTTGGTTTGACTTTGTTTGCACAACGTCAGAGAGACCTTGTGGAACCTAACTAGTCCTGTGTTCTCTTCCATATTATTCGTGATTTTCATCATCGGACCAATGGCTTGGTACATTCCCAATTGTTTCTTCGGCATTGTCAGTTAGAGGTTCCATCTTTAATACAGACTTACAACTCGTCGAAGTGACAAGTGAAGGCAATCCCGTTGACCGATTTTCTGTTCAACCATATAGATTGTGGAAGTTGTTTCACCTTGTCTTCGCAACATGTTTATATTGGTAGGAAGACCTAGAGAAACACATTAAGTCCGGAGTCCATTGTATGCATGAAAAATTCCATTCGGACCGTGGACGAGGTACATTACCGGACGTTTCGCCGGCAGCATAGTTGACATCTCTTCACATACCCCCTGCTCATGAAATCCGACCAAAAGGGCACACCACACCACGATTAAATAAGCAATTAAGAAATTGTGATAGTGAAGATGTGATACAGTGGTGTATGATGGGAGATATACCACAACTGTTTAGCACACATTTGGTCAAAGGATCGGCTTCACTTGTCTCTTTGACAACTTGTAGTGCGGTGGCAAGACTCACTGACGATGCTGGTGGAACGTGTTGGAATGTACCGAGTTCACAGTCCGACTCTGCAAATGTTTATGCCTACTATGGACACCGGACAAGTTACGTTTTTCCTGGTCTTTCTGTCAAAATGACAAAGTTGCGGAAACAAGGTCAAACAAGTTTTATGTAGCGAAAGGACCCACTATATTGGTCTTCATAACACAGATAGATTATATTGCAAAGCTAAATAATACACTACCCAGGCTCGAGTCCCGTGGTGAGCCCTACTCATCTGAATTTGAGAAAGCCACTTACGATGCTCTATTTTGTCAACAGAGCCGTTGCAATGTTGGCCTCGGTATGGAAAACGGGTTTCGGTCTTCTCTTTGCGAGGGGCCAACAACAATCAAACTGGTCCTGTTTCTAGGTCGTCTCTGTCATGTGTATTCTGCCCGTTCGAGATGACACAGAGACCGTTTAGACGGATTTCCAAGCAGCCTCTTCATTTGAACCTGAATTACCGGAACGCTGGTGATCCATCATGGGTCAGGGCTAAACATGTCTGCATTAGAGTGAGCTTTAAAGAGACTGCTAATTTGTGTGTGTGTGTGTGTGAGAGAGAGAGAGTGGTACTGGTTTTTCCACTTGATTTTCTTGCTGTTGCCAACTCGACGTGGGAAAGCGTTTTGAGCAGAATTGCTTTGAACAGCCAAATCCCTGTCAGCTAGAGAGGAACGCAGCACCAATGCATAATCAGATACAAACTCACACATGTTTGAGCTCCCCATGAATAATGCAGACGAGCAAGGCCAGAATGTAGGCATTTGCATCCATAATGCAAATGCAGAATAGATGAGTTTACAGAAAAACGGGAGCATGGAGACGAAGCAACTCATTGACTTTGGTGCTGCGCCTGACAGAAGAACATGGTACAGTGGAGGTGTGGCAGGGGGCTGTGCAACCGAAGAAAGCGGGGAGTCGAGATCCGTCGAAGGGGTGGCTGTCGGGCTGCAGTGACATGGAGGATGGAATGTATCGCCAGGGGGTGTAGTGGAGACGTCAGACTGAGGGCGGGGAGTTGTTAGGGCGTCGTCTAGCCTCCGAAAAAGCTGGCCTCAGGAAAAGATGGTGTTGGCAGTTCACTGAATGGATGAGCGTAAATATAGAAATGAATAAATAAATAAATAAATCTGCATACATGCATGTAGGCAGTTAGACGCAGTTAGACACACCCACCTACACACGAAGACACATATGCATACGGGCAGGCGGGCAAATAGACAATCTTAAGGTAAAAAGTGATTATTTTGGTGTGATAAGTTGAATTATTTGCAAATTTGGGGTTAAATTTTATTGCTCGCGTGCAAAAATGTGTGTAGTCATAAAATCGTAGTCCATAGACGATCTCCATTCATTTAGGCTGACGGGAAGACACTGGCCTCGCCTGCTAGTCCATGTACATATATATACACACACACGTGTGTGTGTGTGTGTATTAGCAGCGTGTATAGGCATGTCTGCAAGGCCTTGCATAGAAGTGGCCATGGAAACAGATATGTATTTGCACGAAAATTTCATAAGCATACCAACTCGTACTCTCCAATCCGTTGTGGTATCTCTGGCTATTTCAGCCTATCTGATCGAGAAGCCTATGCCAACGGGACATACAAACACTCCGCCAGGTAAGGAAGACGGCCTCGAACACACCCTACGGAGGGGTATAATGAGAAACGGAGATAAGAAGATATGTATGATATGGTTCGCAAGAGACCGGGAGAGTAGTGCAGGGCAAGCAAGAAATAGAGAAATGCTATCTTTGATGTAAGTAAGTTTTGTATTTAAAAAATGCCACCAGATTTTATCATGTACTGTATGGGTAGGTAAATGCCTTCTTGGCTGTACAGACAATAGCTTCATGGCGGAGTGAAGCAGAAGATCAAGAGGCTCAAATCACGAGTTGATAGGGGGACCGGCTTAAACGAAGACCCAGTCAATCAGTTCAGTTTAAAGGATGGGCAAAATGGGCGGTCAGGAGTGGGAATGTATTGTGATATTTAGCCAAATAATGCCCAAAGGCCAGATTATGCCGAGCGACTTTGGACTGTAGAAGCTTGAATGTGTCGGGAAAATGGCCCCTCGTAGTCTCCAGTCGGATCCATTCTCTTTTTGACCAAATGAACCATGCGGTAGCCATGGAGTCTTGGACAATGGAGTCAAGATACTGGCCAATGGGCAGTTGGCAATTAAAAAGAAAACATCAAGTCAAGACAGACAGATGGACAAACGGAGA